TGTTCTTTTTTAAGCAAACGTTCCTAAGGTTATGAGTACAAAAACCCTTTTTTTTTGCATATTTTAAAAAATTGTTTGGGGGAAAAAAAGTTCGATTTTAATTAGGAAAAAAGGGGGAAAAAGAAAATAAAAAGGGGTTGTGGGTTTAAACCTAAAATGAGGAAATTGTAATTCTCAGTTGGGCCCGCATGGTTAAGGTAAATTTTTTCCCTAAAGAAAATTAAAAAGTAAAAAAAACGTAAAAAAGGTGAGGCCCATGCAAAAAATCCCTCTTGTTTCCCTATAATTATTTTAAATTTGGGGGCCCTCCAATCGGCCCCGCTTCCCCGGAGAAACCGCGGAAAATTTTTAAAGTTTTTATTAAAACCTAAAGTTTTAAATTTTTCTTAAAATCTTTTAAATAAAAAAATATGAAAATTAAATGGGAACAATTAAAAAACTAAATGTTTTTAGTAAATTTTCAAAAAAATTAAACTTCAATAAAAGCTGCTCAAGGAAAAGAAATATTCAATAATGCTCGAAAAAACAACAATTTTCAATTTTTTTAAAAGAATTAAAGATGTATCCTATGGAAAGTTTAAATTTTAAGGGAAAACTTTTAAATTTTTCAAAATGTCAAGCATTGCTTTTTATGGTAAAAAAATTTGCCCTGATTTTGAAATGAAAACTTTAAAAATTTTCTGGTTGTTTATACCTTTTTAAAGGGCCCAAATTTCCCTTTTTTTTATTTTATTTTTGTTAAAAACTATTTCTCCCTGTTTCTTTGTAAGAATCACGTTACTACACGTTGGATGTTATTGGTATAAAATCTATTAATAGTAACAAATGGCTGATAAGACAGATATACAGGTATCTTGTGAATGGTTGGCATGATAAAGTACTTATCAAAGTAATTCTGTATGAATAATTACAATATCTCGGTATGACGGTAGGGGGCCGGAATCGTATTGGAAACACAGAGAAAAACTAATATACTATATTTGTGATGATAGTTTATCGCACTGAAAGGCAATTAAACGTTAACTATACCATATGTAACGACGGAAATATTGATTTCAACTAAATTATATATTTTTTCGATAGCGCATAAGAATAAATTTTTTATGCAGACACCACTTTTACAGTAGAATTGCATTGTTTAATGCAATAATTAAGCATAATTATATATTTCATAGTCACTTTGCAAATATTCGATGATCAGTAATTATTTGTCGGTAATTATCGGATTCTTAAGTAAAACATACGGATTTCAATGTATGGTACAACGGTATATGTATAAAGTAGAATTACAAGTAGAATTACAAGCATATCATTTGCTATACAAGACTCGTTGACAAAGTGTTAGATTTTCATTTACTCGTAGTTTCAAATTGAAGTCTGTTGGTTCGATAAAGTGATTTTTTATGTTTTCTATTATGATATTTTTTGTATTTTGCAAAAAATGACCATTTATCAAAATTATGAAATAAATAAGTGCTAGAAATGAAACACACGATTTATCAACTGTTTCAGATAGTGAAAAGATATAATAAAATCAATTTAACAGGATTTGTCCAAGGGTTTGCCTTAAATACGAAAGTGAGATTTTTGACGAAAGTGAGCGAAAGTGACTTTTAAAATTGAATTGTACCGTTTTAATATAATTTTACAATAAAATTGCTGTTTGTAGACGTATATTATTAGCAACTAATTATATATATTATAATAAATAACCATAATCATGATTTAATCGCCATTTATTGGCCTAATTTCTTTATACCAGTTCGCTTGCAAAGAAAAATACGAAATATATGAAATATAGAGTTTAAATTGAAAATGTACTAAATTTGCAGTTTGTTGACGTATATTATAAAAAATTAATATTATTTATTTTCTAAATTAATCATTACGATGCTTTATAGTTTTATACCCCATTTTTGCATAATTTCTATATACAATATCAGCGATCTTCCTTTCGCTCTTACATTGAAAAATACGAAAGATTCGAACTTGCGTCTACTAGGTTACAACTTCTTCATACTTACCACTGGGCCATCGAGCAGTATTAATTGATATATACATGTAATTATACTTACAATAAAATCGTTAACATTAATCATAATATATGTAAGTTATGAAAACTAACGAAACACCCTCCGAAAATTAATGGGTCTCGGGTAAATATTGCCAAACAATACTTGCTTATTTAATAATGATACCAGTTTCTTGACCAAATTACAAAGCAAGTTTGCTTCAAATATGATGTTTTATTATAACATAACCTAAATTTATTGCATACAACTCTTTTACAAAGTTTATAGCAAGAAATGTGGCAGGTATATGAAACATGAACATGAACATGAATAAACATTACTCAACTTATTGTTCCTTTTTCTTTATACTCGAACCATTAAACTGATATTTTCTTTTTTTATGATATAAAAAACATATTTTTATCAGGCGACTCGATGCTTTAGCATCAAAATCTCTACTTGTTGCATTGAGTGCCGAATAAAAAATAGCGATAACCTACTTATACCTTTACTCGAATTGAAATAAGACGGGAGCAGTTGCAAACGCGCACCGACATTCGTTTGGGAATAAGCAATGGAGAAAAATATTACAAACACTAATGAAGGTAATTTATAACATTTTATTTTTCAACTTACAATTTTTTTTCTATTGTGTGGCCAACGTAACAATTGTATTTGTTGGGGAAATTACCTTTTTTTGTTTTTACAAGATATTTTTCTGGTATTCTGATTGGAGGTACAATTATGATATATTCCTTTCACCCTGCACATTTTTTTCTGTTGATTAAATCATAACCATAAAGGTGATGAAATATGTACTGTAAATGGACATGTATTGCTATTTAAAACAAAAAAACCGTTAATCATTGTCAGAATTTATGCAAGAATATTAAGGAAAACCTTCTGAGGTCCGAAGGTCGTGAAAAAACATAAAATTCGATTTTTTTAACATAGATCAACTTACTTGCATGGGTACTTTAAAGAAAATATATGCCAAAATAATAAAGAAATTTAGTTAAATTACGCAGAAATTGAAATTGAAAATCGCACCTTATATAATTCTTAGCGTTTCATTTTTTTAGTAACATCATGAAAACGTTAAAGGAGTCCCTTTAAAGGAACTCCACTGAGGACCAAAAGCCTAAAACATAAAATTTGAAAATCTTACATAGATCAGCTGGGGCAAAAGATAATTAAGAAATATACCCAGAAATTAATTGAAAAATTATTTTGTTCAACGCTTTTAAATGTTGGGTCATTTTCCACATTTAGAATAATCTTTGTGGAAAAACAGTGTGAGCAAATGATCTGAAATTTTGCATACAGGTAATTGTGCTAGACCTATATCTAATGGAACATTATTCTTGAAAAATAATTCCAGTCCTGTCATGTCAAATAACCTCAGTGGAGTCCCTTTAAGGTTTGAAAGAAAGGTTCTACTTCCCCCTCGTTACATTTCTTCGATTACTCAATGTGCAAGACAACGACTAATGTGAAAAGCTTTACCTATTATTACTCGGATTTTCTTTCCACTGTATTTTTTCTTCAATATTGTGACCAGCAAAAAACACGTTATCTTATGGACAGGGCACTGTCTGATTATTTACTTTTTTACTACAAGGACAATGGTATGGTATGCGTACAAAAAGTAATTTAACGTAGCGTCAGGCGGGATAAGCGAGCCTCATCGTCATAGTTATAGCCTAAAGTGTATCAAAATAATATACATAAAGTTGATTACGGAAATAAAACGTGCTGATAAAATTTTATCTAGTGCATCATTTTTATTTATCTTTTTTATTCATTCATATTTTTTGCATAAAAACTGAAAAGTGACAAGATGTCAAACTCGTATATTTTTTTCGACATTTCTATAATTTGTTAACTCTGTTGGTGGCGGGCAGAAACTAACAATGTGCATGTTTGTATATTGAAATAACCGATCAAGTATTTTCAATTATAAATTAATCAAATAAACTCTATGCATAACTCAAAGGCGTTCTCCTATTTTTGAAGCACGCTCTTTGAATCTTTGTTGGGATTCGTGAGAGTCATAAATTCTAGTAATAAAAACACACGACGAGCAAACTTTTTATATCGATATAATAAATGGTTGTTTGATAAACAAATAAACTCCCAATGATATTTCAAAATGAATTGCCTGGTCGCCTCGTTCTTCTCTACAGATTTTATTTATGATAAAGACATTACATATGTAACGTGTCCATTTATGTCTATTTACGTTAAGGGTAAATGACAAGATGCAAGCTGCAGTGATGAAAAAGTAGCGTTTTTATCTTTTCTTCTCATTTCTTTTGTTTTAAAGGTTACTATGGGGAGCCTGCTGACCAGCATATTACATCCCGGTCATCAAACCAAGGCCAGGTGCCTAGCGGGTTTTATGCAGTGGGTCAACATGCTGGAAGCCAAACGCCGATACAGATGCAAGCTTTGGATCCAGCACCTCAAGGAATTGTACAGTATGTGATGCAGCCTGTTCAACAAGGTTATGGCTCCAATACAGTACATTATCATGTCCCTGGTAACCAGTACATGGTACGAGATTCATTTAGCCCTATGCCTACCGATGAAGGTACTTTTAACCAAATAATCTTCTTATTTAAAAATATTTTATTGCATATATGAATATAAATCAATTATTTTACATAAACATAATATCACCATATACAAAAGGGTGGGGCAAAAAGTGTTTGCAATATTGCCATGGTTTCTCCCCAATAAATGTTTAATATCAGTTTCATAAAGTAAAGATATATTTATATTAACTAAACAATGAAATAATTTACATATTAACTAAATAATGAAATAATTTACATATTAACTAAATAATCAAATAATTAACTCACCGTGTCATTTTCCCATTCAATCAATATGAAATTCAGATATACCGCAATTTAAGTGTGATATAAGCTAACGAATTAAAACTCCTATAATCGAGTTTGTCAATATATTGCTCTTCTTTGCAGACGATGATGGGCCGACAATCATACCATCTTTAGCAGGTATAATTTTCAAGCGTATAGTCTCCGCACTTTTCATTCTTCTAGATGTTTGCTTAAATTGGTTGCAATTCGCCTCGTGGGTTGGAAATTTTGAATTGTCAGCCTGGTTGAGTGTGCTTGAAACAGTAAATAGTCTGAAAGGGAAATCGCCGTGGAAGTCTCAATGCAGTGAAGGGTCCGTTGACCTTACATCAATCTATGGGGCCTTTGTTGGCATAGGAACCGCCTACGCCTGCTTGAAAATAGTTAACATGATCGGGGAAACACTCTTAGAATACCAACTGCGAGATAAGAGTGAAAAAGAGCCTGCTTGCAGGGGGTTTCAGTTGCTACATGGTTGGATAGAAACAGTGCTGGGTGTTCTTTGTGACGACCTGCCCCAGGCCATATTGTTAACCTTATTTAGCGTACAGTGTCAGGTTGACTTGACTGCCATGACGAAACTTATTGTTTTGACAATAATCAAATCAATCAAGAATGCCTTTCGTGCCAGTTCGTGCAAGCAGAAGTACAAACCGTGTTGTCATGACCTATGTAAAGATTTCTGCGCCATAAAACAAGATTTTCCTTGCTGCTGTAGATTATTCATTTTTAGACCTTTTGGTTGCTGCTGCGACGCAGAGTGCGTAGAATGTGAAGAGTATGCCATTTGCCCCGACTGTGTGTGCAAGAGAGGTGGCAGATGCTTTGGCAATATTGACAAAGACCCGAAATGGGCATTAAGATACTACAAAAAGTTACAACAGTGTTATTTTACACTTCAAGTTGCAATTATCGTAATTTGTTTACTTAAAATTTTTAAAAACCATTGGATTTTCAATTTTATGAGCAAACCAATCGAAACAGTACAGCCTTAAGAACATTAATACCGTGTCCGGGGATTATAAAAAATCAACTGAGATGAAAATGTTAGTTCTGACATAAATTGTTTTTGTTTTACGATTTATATAATTTCCTTAAACGATTTTTAACATCTAATATATTAAACTTATGTAATTCATGTGTGTCATTATTCAGAGACTGAACTGTACAAAAGTAGATCTACGTAAATATTCTATTATTTAGAGACAACGAGTACATAAAAGTGTAATTATTCAGAAACTGACCTGAGCATAATAGTCTAGTCAAATTAGCCCGAAAATCAAGCTAACCTAGAACTAATTGCAAAAGTTTTTGTTTTGGTATTTTATGATGGTACCATATCTGCTTGATATTAGGAAAAAAGTTGCACTCTTTTGCTGAAGGGGAAATGTGATAATTCTAGCTTTCAAGTTGACACCCTTAAATTTCAGTTATAAAATCGGCGTAATTTGTTAATTTCCGATGATACTAAAAAAACACTTCTATATATAAGTTAAACATATTTATTACATGCAAACTTCATACAAACAAATTTTTGTACATGTTGATACAAAAATTTATGCATTTAAAATTTAAAAAAAAAATTTTGGTGGGCAATTCTATGACAAACTGGTGTCAAATTACCCCACCCACTTTATGTTAAAATTTTTAACCAGTCAAATTCCGATATATAAGCAGCAAATCATCCATTCCATGTATATTTACAGTAAAAACAATACATAATAACATATTTATGCATGAAGAAGTACTTTGTAAATTATGTCAACTGTATTCATATGAATTAAAATGGACATACATGTGTATTGTAAATTATGTTTTAGATAAATGTTGAATAATTCAGGTACACTTTTGTTTAGCTAACATTCTGAACATCCAACGCATTTTGAATAATTTGTTTGTTTCAAGCAAAAAAAAAAAGAACAACAACAACAAGTAAGTATAATTAAGAGCGAGTTACAATTACCAAAACTACAGATGAAAAATACTATGCCCGGTCTATGGAGAAATTGTAGTATATACATTTAAGTGTCACTTGTTGAAATTTGACATTACACACGGAATAAAACTATATTACAAATGTATAAATGTACCGAAGAGCTACCTAATTTGGCAAGCAACAATGTAGTGATAATAAATATAAAGAACATGAATATACAGGCTGTTTCATTCACAAGAACTACATTTTTGTCACATCGATATGTACACTTAAATCACTTTAAGTATATGGTAGGGTTATTGTCATGCTTGTACTAACACATAACAGTCTACAACATATAAGACCACTTCTATTAATTTGAAATTATCGTTCTGTATTTCAGACAGTATAGTAATACATTTTTATTTACAATAGGTGAACTTTGACATTGACAATTAGAGAAAAAAACAGTGTGTCGCAACACAAGCAAATATAAGAAAGCATTGATAAGTATGTATTCAATATACAATCTAACTCTAAATATACAATACTATTGTACATTTGGAGTTAGATTGTTTCAAACATTTTACTACATTTATGTTATAGCGCATAGTTTGGTGCTAGTACAAGTTAATTGTTCTGTGATAGACACCTGCATAAATTTTAGTATAATTTGACCCTGGATAAAAGAGTATAACTACAATACTAAAGAACTACTTCATATGGCAAGCAAACAGAGTATTATTATAAATCTTTTGTTTTTATTACAAGCTACTTTGTATTTACTTCGCGAGGAATATGAGACTGTTCAATATATAGAACAGATTTGTCTGCAAAGTTTTATATGAATAACTTAAAGTGAAACCTCTATTGCTTATGTAAAAACAAGATGCCAGATGCATGTACATTGCCAATAATAACACTAAATATGAATACATTTCAATACAAAACAGGTAAAAATTGACAACTAGTTCTAAGAGCATTGCGTCGATACAAGATCTAGTCCTCCATGTCTGCAAAATCAATATCTGAAATGGACCGACAGTTTGAACAGCTAATACAATATGACATTCTCCACAACCAACCGAAAATTCAAGGTTATGTTTGCGACAGGTACATCTCTAAGAGTGGCATTTTTTGCAATTGCATCTGATAATATTTAAAAGAAAATCTGGAGCAGCGGGTTGTGTAGATTTTGTGGGTAAAAGAGTCCTTCGAGAAGTTCCTATCCCCATTCAGTTGGATCTAATTTATCATTTCCAATCCATGTTTGTGTTTGAAAATATGACGGTAAAGAATGTCAGACGTAGGCGGAATGCTTTGAACTTGAATAACAGATCAACTTGACATGGGTTTGATTACAAATTTGTGAAATCTCAGTTTGTTCAAATTTATCTCCCTAGCTTCATCATATAATATCCTCATGGCATTTTCATCACCTGTAATAATTTCTTCTTTGTTTGTTGAAGAATGAAATATTGCAGCATTTTGCCGGAACACTTCATTTTTACACATTATTTTAAGAACTGTCGCAACCAGAGAAAGCGTGCAGGAATGGTAGGAGATAACAAATCTCTATTCCAATCATATTTTGGTGTCTTTTGAATATATATGCCAAACTATTTGGGTTTTCAATGTCTGATCTGAAATATACATTCTTCGAATCTGACGAAATTCCAAAACTGACAACAGTCTGTTTAAAACAACATTTCCCCACACATTGTTTCTCTTAGAACATTTGAGTTGTATTGTTTCCTGCATCCTCGGTAACGCAGGCTATTTACCGTATACATGTATCGGTAATAATATTAAATGTAGTGTATACGGAATGTGTACCGTGGGTTCCGACGATGTGTTTCCTGAAAATCAAAACTTCTACCAGGATGAACATCTATGTTTACCAGATGCAACTTTAGCAGGCTTACCACAGAACAAGCGATCACACTTTAAAGCAAAGTTAGCATTTGATCTTAAATGTCTTTTAACTTGGTTACACTTAAAATTGGAACTATTTGAAATGTTTCTATTGTGGATAAAATCCCTTCTACAGTCTTGATGCACAATTTGGCCTGTAATTGTTCGTATACTTGTATACTTGAATTCCTCAGATCGCTAGCATGGTTAACACTGTTGCTTCCCTTCTCCCTGAGAGTGACAATTGGTATCCATTCTGGATATCCTGCGCACAAAATACGCACGTTGTAGAATCTGAAAGCATATTTTAAATCTACAGATCTGTATATATTTTTATTTTGTATATGCATTATTTCACAGTAACAATAGTATTATGTAGTGTAAAATATGAATATACATCATACATGTATATAACTTATGAAATATGTTATTTTATATATGTTTGTATTGTGTGTTGATTATCTTACTATTCAGACCAATATCGACACATGGGAACATGATGAATGTATAAACCATCTGACATTGGTAAAAACAAAATATACCTGTTGCCATGTTGATATTTACTTGTAGATCCCGAAATCAGAAATGCACAACGGGTTTCTGAAAAAAAATTATTCAGTATAGAAATATTCAGTATAAAATGTGCATTTATTTCAGCCTACCTTAAATAGCCTATGTTATTTCCCTGCATTTAACATACATTAGACCTTTGTCCGAAAACTTTATGGCAAGCATGTGTATATTTACAGAGAAATTGTCATGAGTTTTTTATTAATTTAATATACAGTAGTCAGTATAAACATACCGAAATGCAACGCCCTTCATATCGTTGTTTGTTCCATCAGCATGGTTTGGTAATGTGGCTTGTATCATCTATAGAAATAAAAGACATATTTTGTGAGAAATCATGTATGAATTTAGCATATATTGCATCAACCGATACTCAAATGACATAATGGTGTGGTCTATTTCACATAAATAGCATATTTAAAAAAAGGACAAGTTAAAACAAACATTGTTCATATATTATAGATAGAAATTGTGCATAGATAATACTTAAAGTATGACTCACCTTGATACAAGAGACAGCTGAACATTAGATAATCATCATATGACCATTGGTGTGTAAATCATGGATGTCCCATCTGAAATTAAGTATTGATTTTATTTATGTACATTTACATACATGTTTATTAATGCAAAATATATATCTAAATATAAATTTATATATACGTACATGTAAATCTGAATATTGTTTTATTACTGGTTTGGGACCACCAAAACCAGACAACCACCAAACCCGGACGGCCCCGAAAATGCTTTATTTAGTATTTTCTTTGTTCAGTGGTTGTCGGTCACTTTTTCATCAACAATAAATGCATGTTTCTTCTAAAATTAAGCAAATAAATTTATTTCAACCTACGTAAATGGTAATATTTTTATTGTCTATTTATAGAATGTTGACGTTGAAATTTGGGGGTCAAGAAAGCATTGGATATATCATTTCGATTCTAACACGACATAAACAAAAAAATGCTGCCGTACCTGCTATTAAGCAAAATTGCGCCTAATTTGTTTCCGTACTTATTGTCAGCGCGTCGGATTACGTCACATGTATAATGATTACGCCACATGTCTAAATATAGAGCGTCAAACAGTGACTCTATTGCATAATAACACACACTTTCGGTTCTTCTATATGTTCAATAGGGCAAAATGCAGGTCGTGTTAGAATAACAAATTGATAGAGCGCTTGTTCGGAATGCGTATTTAGAGTTTCTTTTAATACTTCATAAGAAGTGTTTTATATATACTTTTATTTTAAAACACAATTATCAATTTCGCCATGATGTTTTCACCTCTAAATCGTCGTACACTCGTGTTTTTCGTCTTTGAACTTCCGTGTATTCATATTTTTGCCTTCCAGTTGGCATGTGCAGAACAGAACAATTGATTTGTTTAACAAATGAACAAGTTTATATAAAGTCATTTTCAAAGAGGCTATGCATCAGTGATTTTTTTTATTATAGTCTGAAATTGTTATATGCATTTTTGTTAGGTTTTTCTTAGGTTCTTTTTAAATAACCAAATTGTTTTGTTGTTTATTTTTCATTAGCATAATAGCAGGTGAGGCTGTGATGCAGAGGTAAAATGCTTACATCGGGTTTGACACCCTGGCACTGTTTAATATTTTATATGAAGGAGTTTTTTATCTTATTTTATTTCATGTTATGTTAGCTCATGATTAAACTGTTGTAACAAAAAATCTATTTGAGATTTATTTTTTTATTTTTTTATTTATTTATTTATTTAATTTCTTTTTTGCAATTTGAAATTTGCTTTTGAAGTTGTGTTTTAAGGGTGTGGCGCCGTTATATGTCGCAACGCCGCTAAATGTCGCACTTACCGCTAAATGTCACACAATTGCCGCTAAATGACGCAACAACCGCTAAATATTGCAAAATCATCTGCAACTGTAACGTTAAATGTCGCAGGATTATCCCTTACCGTTAAATGTAGCAACACCACCCTTAAATGTCGCAATATCAAATTCATGTACAAAAACTGGTATTATGTCAATTTTAAAGTTATGCAAGTGAACTAGGGACCAGCTATCTCTCAGAGAGAAAAAGATTTGCTGTGATGTTTATGTCTCTGCGATGATAATACAAGATGATACATGTTAAAAATAATATTATTTGATTCTAGTAACTTTGGTTCACATTTTTAAATGGCAACAAGCGATGTAATAGGAAATTGTTGCGCGTTAATAAACCAGTCAACACGATCAAATTCAATCGCATTTTCGGTGGTTTTAGCACGGATTCCAGTAACAGTTCAATGTAAAAAACAACAACATTGTTTTAAACAGTCCTAAAGTAGATAGAGAATCTTCTGATTATTTGATGCCAAGACTTTGCCGATATGTAGTCTCAAAGCGAAATGTGTTTTAGAAAAAAGAAAGCTCAATGTATTGCCTGAATTTGTTGCGTGGTAAGTAAAGGTATATCTAGACTTTGGTATCGCTTGAATATCTCGCGTGGAAGGTAAAATGCTAGGTTACTCTTATCTATGCCAGATGTAACTTAGTAAATCTTAAAAATTGAAATCCATTTATCACAAACATCTATAAGGCTAACATTTTTTTATTAAATGTTTTACGGGACATTTTTTAAAAAAAAAATGGATCGGGGAGTAGGGGATAAATAAAAATAACAAGAGCCCGGTTTGAGCCGGGTGATGCTCCCCGAATAGGTTTTGGACACAGGAAAGTACACCTCTTGTAGTTTCAGAGTTATGTCCGTGGAAAAAGTTCAAAGTGCAATAATTCCAAAATTAGGCAAGGCTGTTACAGTTCTTTGCACTGCACTTCTTATCAATGTGATCTATCAACCTACAAAGTTTCTTGATGATATCTCTTATGATTTCCGAGTTATGTCCTGGACAATTCAAAAAGTAAAAATAAACAAAGGGCAATAACTCCAGAATTAGGCAAGGTAGAGTTATGATTCTTGTGCACTGCACATCTACCCATTGAGATTTATCTACCTACAAAGTTTCATGTTGATATCTCTTATAGTTTTACAGCTATGTCCTGGACAAGATTTTTCTAAAAGGGGAGATTATTCAAAAATAAGGCTTAACAGAGTTATGGTTCTTTTGCACTGCACATCTATCCATTGAGATCTATTCACCTACAAAGTTTCATGTTGATATCTCTTATAGTTTTAGAGTTATGCCCCGGACAAGATTTTTCTATAAGGGGAGATAATTCAAAAACCAGGCAAAATAGAGTTATGGTTCTTTGACACTGCACTCCCCCTCAATGCCCTCTACCACTGTATGAAGTTTCAACAAATTATCTCCAAGGGTTTTCAAGTTATGTTCCGGACAAAGTTCAAAGTATTAAAATAAACAAAGGGCAATAACTCCAAAATTAGGACAAAAAGAGTTATTGTTCTTATGCACTGCACATCTACGCATTGAGATCTATTCACCTACAAAGTTTCATGTTGATATCTCTAATAGTTTTAGAGTTATGCCCCGGACAAGATTTTTCTATAAGGGGAGATAATTCAAAAACCAGGCAAAATAGAGTTATGGTTCTTTGACACTGCACTCCCCCTCAATGCCCTCTACCACTGTATGAAGTTTCAACAAATTATCTCCAAGGGTTTTCAAGTTATGTTCCGGACAAAGTTCAAAGTATTAAAATAAACAAAGGGCAATAACTCCAAAATTAGGACAAAAAGAGTTATTGTTCTTATGCACTGCACATCTACCCATTGAGATCTATTCACCTACAAAGTTTCATGTTGATATCTCTTATAGTTTTAGAGTTATGCCCCGGACAAGATTTTTCTATAAGGGGAGATAATTCAAAAACCGGGCAAAATAGAGTTATGGTTCTTTGACACTGCACTCCCCCTCGATGCCCTCTACCACTGTATGAAGTTTCAACAAATTATCTCCAAGGGTTTTCAAGTTATGCTCCGGACAAGACAACGGACGGACAGACGGACAGACGGACGGACGGACAGACGGACAGACGGACAGACGGACAAGGCGCCGACTATATGCTCCCCCGAAATTTTTCGGGGAGCATAAAAATAGATGACCGAATTATAATTATTAACTGTTTTATTCGGTCTTGAACTCATCGAACATTTTGATTTAGCGTAATAAGATTATTAACGAGACTTCTGTAAAAAAAGTAATCAACTTAGAGGCGGTACGGCCGAGTGATTAACGCGTCAGACTAGTAATCTAAAGAAGGCTGCGTGGGTTCAAACCGAGTCAGGTGCAAGACGTTTTTACCGTTAGCAAAAAAACTTTAAACTCGTTGCTTAGTACTGGTTAGTTCCAGTTCTAGTACTTTAATGCGCTTAGAGCTTCCAACACAAATGAACTAAAACAAATTCGTATAACCAAAAATAATCAAGTTGATATTCAGATTGTTGAACGTTAGCACTTACAGCAATATATACAAAATAAGCATTCTGATACAAATAGAATTTTGTTGGATTTTAATGCGCACCATCAGAGTCAGGACATGGTAACTTTTCCGCCTTACTGGTGAAGAAGGACATTATTTGCCTTTCCGTGCATAATTTCAGTCACGAACGGGAATTTGAATAAAACCAGCGACGTTCCATAAACTAGGTGGACTATCTTCCTCATATAAAAGAATACTAAGTCTCTTGCGGGATTCGAACCAACGGCGATGAGGGCAAGTAGAAGTACAAAAGTACACAAAGCAAAATACTTTACAGATGATTATTATATGAACATTTGCATACTATACTTTTATCAATCGCTTTTTCAGTTAAATTTCAATAAAAAAAAAGACATTTCTTGCGACATTTAACGGTAGTGTTGCGACAATTAACGGTAAGAGTAAATCGTTCGACATTAATTTTAACGTTACAGTTGTGACATTTAACGGTAATCAGCGTTGCGACATATAATGGCGCCACAAAGGGCACTGGCATAAGTTGTTGGAAATAATGTGCCATTCTTGATTTTTGTGAAAAAGTGAGACTGTTTTGGGGGCAAGCGTTTATTATGAATGTCTTATACAGTAGTTGTATTTTCTAGAAAAGAATAAAAATAGTAAAAGAAACTGATCACAAGAAAAGTACATTAGGATCCGTTACACTTATTCATAAAGTTTTAAAACAATCTGTTCTCGGGAACTCTCTGAATCAGAAATAAACCAGTGTTACAGCACATTGATTATTGTAGTTTTATATTTACCCACCAATATGAATCTTTTTAATAATTTAGCTAATATCCATTTTGTACTGGTTTAATATTCAAGGCTTTAGGCACTTAACATTTGTCATTTCGATAATGTTTCTTCTATATATGATTACTGCGTATTATAGTAGATTAAATATGAAAACACAACGTCTTATGTTGTAAATTAGAAGTATCCAGAGTAGTAGAACTGTTTCGGCATATTCAACCGAACGAACTGAAAGGAATGTCATAGACCCCAATCTTTATTCTAAAGACAAAGAGATGCCTTTATTTTATACAACGGATTCCTTCTGAAGCAAAATGATCCCCACTCCCCAGAACCAACTTCATAACACCCTTATCAGAAACCTGTAGAATATATGAATCTCAAACTGGTTTGTGCAAGCTTGAAATAAACTCTTACGTTAATTCTTTTTCTTTTTTACCTCGCCCGACCTTGACCTATTGATTAAATACTGTTTCAGCTTAAATACATTTGTAGCGTATATAAATATTGATTTGAAAAATTAAATCTGGTATTTGAAAACAATTTTTAATACTTTTATTACTGACAAATATACCGGCACTAACTTATTGTCCAATTGGTGACTGCCATAAAAAATCATAATTTAATCTGGCTTTTGTGAGAAGAGGCATCATGTATAAGCTGAACACCTGTCCATCCGTTGTTTCTTATTGTAAAATGCCTTCACTTTTTCTAGTTCAAAATTCTTGTAA